AGAAATGGAAATAGACTCATCAGTGATGACATGGAGATTAGGCTTCCAAGAGACAGCCTTCAAGATCTGGAATTTGCTTGTGTAATTTGCCTGGTTGGTAATTTCACTCTCTTGAAATGGAAAGTGGAGGAACCACAGAAATGCTGTGGCTGAGATGACTGTCTGTGGAGTCAGGGAACCTGTATTTGAAGTATGCTTATGTTTAATGAATGTGTACTTTCCAGTATGGTAAAGCCAAACCATGTGTGACCAGGTCTAAAGGAGATAAGAGATTTGCACAAAATGTTCATACAAGAGAAATAAAATATTCTTGAGCATGTTTTAACATGTATAAGTACCTTTCTGCACATCCTCAATACCATTTAAGATTGGCAGACACTTTATGTTAATAATTTTCAAACAGAGGAGAACACTACCAGCTTAAGAGAAAAGGAAAGATTAAGGGGGCACTTTCCACTAAACCAAAACTTTGACACTGGAGAAACATGAATTCATCCCCATTCATTTTATCTGAACATTTCTGTATGCTCCCTAAATTTTTCACAACTAGCAGGCTTGAGGAGGATAGTGTTTGGGCACTCTTGATCCAGTTGGTCTGGAAATACTGCCAGAAATACCATGGCTGTCTTTTGTTTCTGTTTCTACATTCAGACTGACCCAGGAAGTGCACCAGAAGAGTATGAAAATGAAAGGCAGCTCAGCCTGAAGAGGAAGTACATGACATGCAACTGTAGACTTAATTATTTTACTTAGCTTTCATCATCTTAGGAGAAAAAAAAAAAAAAAAAAAAAAAGTATGTTATTAACCATCTTTCTTTTTCTTTTGGTCAAAAAAATTAATGTTCAAAAAAAATTTTTTTTATTTTATTTTTTTCCCCTAATATAAGGTAAACAGGATAGTAATCGTATTGTATAAGCAATTTGAGGAATCAGACAGAAAGATAAATGATTATACAAGAGCCCCAAGAAGTGTTGCTTTTTGAAATAAGTAGAAATCCTGTAAGCAATACTAGTAGTAATAATAGGGAAAAAAATAGTTTGTTCTAAACAGTTTATGTGACTTGAGCTATATTTATTCCTTGTGTATGTATACTCACAATCAAGGTACGGACATGTTTCAAAGACTTGTAAAGCCAATAGTAGAAAAAATCCCACAGCAGACTGCTGATCAGGAAAAGTAGCCAGTATAGTTTTGACCCAATATGCTAACCGGTAGACTTGAGGCATTATTTATTTTCATAAAAATGTTCAAAATTGTTCAGTAAAGGAGATTTTTAAATTTGGTGGTGTATTACATATGTCCCTATATGGTACTAAGATAGAAACTTAAATTACTTTTCAGATTCATTTAAAAAGAAATAACATGTATGTGTTCCAAGCTGGAAGAGTTAATCACAACAAACTAAAACCACACACATAAAGCAAAGATATGCGTATGGATTCTATTCACATGTCTACTTATGTGCATTCTTTTTAATAAATGGCCTTGTGATATAGTTTCTTCACAATTTTCCTGGACATGTTCATCATCTATGTGAGCACTAGTGGTCCACTTTCTCCTTAATGAACCAAATATATTTGTGCACAAGGTGAGGACAATAGCAGTTAGCCTGCTATTGGATGAGTGGATCTCTAAAATTTATTGTATACAATGAATCTGGATCTTCAGCTATTGTGGGTTAATTTGTCTTCCTGAAATGACCTCTGTAGATAGTTACAAAACATTTCTCTTAACTCTAAACCAAAAAAAGGCTGTAATTACAAGAGGAGAATTATGCAATTCTAAAAATGTAATCAAATTGCTGCTCTAATGGAATCAGAAGTAGAATTTCTTTAAAGTAATCTGTGTGAAGTTACAGCTACAACTAACTTCCTCATTGTACCAGAACAGAGAACTCTCATTTGAGAGAAAGGGGCGAAGATAATCCACCATTAGATGGGGAAAAGGCTGTTTGCTTACTAATAGCAAGACTGACAGATCTGTCAGTGGAAATAGTACAAAATCTCTCCTCAATCTAAGCAAAGATTTTGCCGGCCTTCAGTGGAAAAAAAAAAAAAAATCAAGTTAATAATTATTCAGTATTTGGGATTTAGAGCAAATTACTTAGTCAAATGGAATGCTTTTAAAATAAGCTAGTGTAAACAAGCAGTATCACAGCAGCAAAAGTGTTTGGATAGTGTAATTTTGTAGACATGCAAGGTGTAGGGACAGGTCTGCCAAGGGAACTGGGAGAAGCCAAGAGTTCCAGTCACCACACTGGGTACCCAATAGAGAATACAGAACTTTAAAATTCCCCTGCAATGACTGCCTGTCCTACGAGATAATTAAGACATACAGGTTGCTGTGTTGTGATCAGTTCTTAGGGGCAGTTGAGTATCTGATGCTGGACATGTCCATAAATGTGTAGTAAGGAGTCTTGAACTCTACCAAGGTGCCCCTAAAAGCCTTAGAATCTTCAGCAGCTACCCCAGAACCATAAACTTCATTTGCTGACCAGAACACAACAGTTAGTTCACGAAGCAAAAAGTCTTATGCTACCCATGTACTTCCTTAGTTTCTTCTTCTTTCCTTGGTGGAAAAAAGACTCAAAGACAGCTATTCTGTCTTTAAAGCAGAATGGGCAGCATTTTCAGTAACATCAAATAACTACCTTGCCAGTGTACATAGAGATGGTTAAGTAATTAAAATATTCACCTGACAAGTAAATTTTTCTTCCATATTCACTTTTTTTTTTTTTTTTTTGGTCATAATTCAGTAATATAAGGTTGTGGAAAATAAATAAATAAATAAATATTGAAGGATCCAGATCTGAATGTCCCTGACATCTTCAGATGGAAAATATTTACTGTTTTGAGGAATTATGCCTTGTTTTCAACTTCAGGGAGATTTTAATTGAAAGTATGTTTGTTCCATTAGCAATAAAACACATTAACAAACAAAAATGTCTTAGATAGTGATAGGCATTCTTAATATACATAAGGAGCTGTGCAGCATTCCTATCACTATAACAGTGTAGATGCTTTAATAGACAGGGATATAAGTGATCCCTTTGTCAGCTCGTTGTATTCATCTTAAGAACAGCATTAAAAATAGAGCTAAAATTACTACAGGCTATATGTTATATAACAGTGCTTATTCATTTTTAAAAATAAAATTAGGTCATTGGGCAAAACTTCATTTCAATTGAGTTGTCTGATTAATAGTGTTTCAATTTTGACAAGGAGAAGACACAAATTCATTGTTAAAATACTATTACTGGTGCATGTAAATAAAAAAGTGGGGGTAAAAGGAACTGAAAAATACACTCTAACTTTTCCCTTAACTCTTGCCATTTAAAACCTTGTCCTGTAGTATTTGCTACGCAGAGGAATCTAAAGAACCTCTCTATAGGGTCTTCAGAAGTGGATAAAGTGATTTAGTACGGAATATAGGCAGTAGCAGGGTGGAATGTCAATGAGGATTTAGGTTAATGCTCAGCTTTACAATGGCTCTCCACCTTACATACTGCTCCCAGACTAAGCCTATTACTGTGGCATATCTGGCTTCAAAAAACAGGGAAATATAACATTCCATCAGCTTTTTTCATTATGGAAAACAGCTGAAGGATTACATGTACCTATATGAAAGGAGAGATATCCCAATTTGATGAAACTTTTGAAAGGTGAAATTTAAATCTTTTCAAGGAAGAGAACTCTTTCTCTCTCGATCCTTTTCTGCCAGACATTTTAATCTACTAGAAATCAGGTGTGAGAAGCAAAATTTTATTATGTTTTTTCTAATACTGAAATGAAACCTTACCGCTATTTTGCAACTTTTATCAATAAATATTTTTTAAATTAATTCTCTAGTGTTTTTTAAAACTGTTATGGATTATTTGATTTTTCATTTTAATTCACTCAGCTCTGTACTGGAAGCACAGAATAATTGGTGGAATTTCTTTCAGAATTCAGGAGCCAGATTTTTCTCCTTTAAAATGAAAGCAAGAAACCCTAGCCATTCTCATTCTTCCATAAAAATATGGCTTTGCATTTGTAAATAGTGACCAGTGCAAATGTTCATAGCTAAAAGACTGTGTGCTATCTTCCATGCTCTACATGAGCAGAGCTCTGTTGACTTACTGATTTTACAACCATAGTTAGAACAAAAGGAAGAGCTGAAAGGTACTGTTAGTAGTCCTTTGCTTTCAGAATTTTTCTGAAAAGGGATGTCTGACCAGATTTAACCAGCTAGACCCAGTTTGCCTTTTCAGTCAACACGTTAGTTTCTTCTCAACAGCTCTTAGCTGGGCCAAATTACACTTGCTTATCCCCACCTTGTGAGAGATATTGCAATAGATGGTTACATTCCTAACATCTGTGGTTCAATTAGGTACCTACCTTGAGATGAGATGAACCCAGACCTAAGAAAGCGATACGCTAAAGTCACAGTAACCCCAGTAACAGTAAACACAGTAACAAGTCTATAGCCAGTAGATACTTACAATCTAAACACCTAAAAATAAGTTATGCATTAGCTCATTACAGTCATCAGCTTTTCTAAGATCCTTATTTAGCCTATTTTTCTTTCTTTTTTTTTTTTTTTTTCTTCTTTAAATTCATTTTTCAAAGGAAAAACTCTTAGTCAATGTTTGTGTTTGTGTATTTCTTGTTAGTGTCAGAATGCATGTACGCCTAATTATGTTTGAGGGGTTTGGGTTAGTTGATCTTGCTTTTGATGGGAAGATGAGGAATACCTTATAGAGGCCTTCCAATACCTAAAGGGGACCTACAGGAAATCTGAGGAAGGACTCTTTATCAGGGAGTGTAGTGATTTGACAAAAGGTCCATGGCTCTAAACTAAAAAGGGTAGATTTAGATTAGATATAAGACAAATTCTTTACTCTGAGGGTAGTGAGACACTGCAACAGGCTGCCCAGAAAAGCTGTGGATGTCTCATCACTGGAAGTGTTCAAGGCCAGGTTGGATGGGACTTTGAGCAACCTGGTCTAGTGGTAGATGTTCCTGCCTTTGGCAGGGGGGTTGCAGTTAGATGAAGACTCCCTTCCAACCCAAACCATTCTAAGATTCTGTGAGAGGAGGAGGGAAGACCTAGTAGAACATTCAACCAGAAAACAGTAAAACCATAATCAATGGACAAACAAGAGACTAAATCCTAAATATCCTGAACATGTAGAGAGAGTGAAACACTTTCCCATCTGCTCTTCCCAATCTGTAAAAAAATAGAGTTGTGTAATAAAGGAAACATCTGGATTAGAAAATATAATTCCCAAATTAGATCATCACAAATCAGTAGTTAATGAAATACTGGGCTATCCTCAGTGTTGGAACAAATTACTCATTTCCAGCTAAAATTGTGGGCTAATATTTTCTCATCTGCATGGAATGTTTTGCAACAATTATTTGTTTTATTTGCATTTATTCTCCTTTCATATCTAAAATTTTAGTCCAGATTAAATTAACTAGTAAATGAATTTCACATTATGCTTCAGTAAATTTTGGTTGAACATTTATAGAGGTTAAGATTTAATCTAAAAGAATGTATGTGGAAGTCAAATGTTATGTCAAATGTTAATGTTTATGCAACTGTACATATCTCATAAATTCTCTGTTGTAGCACCTACAGCACATGTGGTAGTTTTTTTACCTTTCTCTGTCTGTTTAGGAGAACCGCATTTGTCATGAGAGTTCCTGTTCCCCACAGGAATATTTCCAGTTCAGAAACAATGTAGCTGACCAACTTTCATTGTTACAGTTCAAATGAGCACAGTATTCCAAACAACCTGGTTAAACACAGACTACTCAAACATCAATGAGACAGAAACAAATGAGTAATTGGCGTGAATGGCATAAATGGAGTAAATAATATAATAATAACACAGCTGTATGGTTTTTCTTTAGTAATTGTCCCAGACTCTTCATAGCAAATATATACTTTGGTTTTTAATGATTGCTCAGCTTTTAGTTATGCTCATTTAAAAAAAAAAAAAAAAATGTTTATTAAAAATAGCACTCTTGTAAATTTACCAGTAACAATTGGACATCTTACTTTTGTGCAATTTTACAGAATAAAAGCTTTCTTTACCTTATAATCATCACCATAAATGTGTTAATCTAATTGCACTAAAAGGGCATATTTTTGCAGGACTTCAGTGAGTTGCACAGGCTGTACAAAACTGTTCCATCACTTATACCCTCCAAAACATGGCATGCATCTCAGGAGCATATTGAATCTCTCCCTTATTTGCCTCTAACATTGGTAATCAGTGTGTTCTGTGACCAAGGCGTTCACTTTCTGCCCCTCTGGACTTGCCAGTCAGTCAGTCAGTCAGACTTTTAATGTCTAATTTTGTTCCTGATCAAGATCTGTATTTACAAGAACAGAAAGGAAAATTGTGAGGGTGGTGACAATGATAGTTATCATAGGAATACGTAGCTGCTGGAGTCATTATTTAGTTGGGGAACAGGCCAGACCATCACCATAACTTAAAAGCAATCACTTTAAAGACTCTGAGGTAAGGTCTCTTTCTCGCCCCAGAGCACTTTATCTCTGATACTGCTGGGAAGAAAGAGATGATGTAGGCCTCTGAAGAATTCCATATGTGAATTAATTAGCAGACTGAGCTTTTTTTTTTCTTTTCTCTAAGATCTGTGAAAGTACTTCTGTAAGTTCAACTATATCTGCAATGTGAGAAGACATTGTAAAAGCAAAGATAACTTAAAGAGTAAAGTAATAGAGGAAAAAAGAAAAGAAAATTACAAAATGCTTTTAAAAAGATCAGGGAGCATTAAAATATATCATTAATTTTTATGCTGGTGGACTGACTAGAACCTATGCAACCTGTAAAACTTAAGACTACATCCATATAGTAATCCATTATAAATATATAATATAATTTACCATGTGCTTATACTTTTAAGATTTCGTATCTTTAAACTACTACTCCACAATTAGACAAATATTCTGTCTGTGCAAGACTCTAGTGCAACAATTTAATAAGCCAAACAATTCAACAAAACCACCAAAGTGAACACATATATCGACATAGTTTTCCTCTCTTTGTGGATGTTTAGATAGTTCGACTGCATAAAATCATCCTTATATTAGGTTTTTGGAATAAATTAATTAGAGCAGAAACTGTGATCTATGAAATGAATTATCTGGCTTGATGTCATTACTTTATCATCATACTGTCACAACATTCATGCTTAATTGCATGTTTATATTGTGTTCTTGTAGATGGAATGTCTTAATGCAAGCTACTTTTGCATGAATTCATTTTTCTTTTTTTTTTTTTTCTTCTTTTTTTAAACTCATTTTTTTCTTTCTTTTGCTTTACTGGATCAGACATGTGGTCAAGAGACTTTTCTGAGATAAAAGTTCAGTCTTGAAAGAAATTCTGAGGCAGGAAATATTTGCTGGAGAAGACAGCTGAAAGGCGGTTCTTTTTTTGCTCTACAAGCCACTTTCGCATATTCTCATGTTGCTACACTTGGTGTTTCCAATCAAGATCAAGGGGTGTTTCCTACTGTTTTGGTCTTGTATTAATTATTCTGCACATCTGTTCATCTCAAACAGAGAGCACAAATGTGAATGCTTGCAGAAAAGGCAAAAGAGGGGTGGTCTACAAGTATTTGAGATGTATACTATGCCTTCTCTTGGCAGGTAAACTATTCCAGGATTCTCCATACTTTTTATTAAGCTAAAAGCAATAGGGATCAGGCTAAGACAGTTTTCTTCAACCCTGCTGGAACTGTGACCTCTGGAATTTACATTTTTCTTATGACAGTATTCTCTAGAGAGCAATAACACATTACTTTCACTGAACTGTTACAATACCAGTTTCTAATCTCAGCCCTACAATGAGCTCTGCCGTGTATGATAAAAGCCTTCTTGTAATATTACAATCAAGTCAAACTGACTTGATATATAAAGGAAATGGACAGAAAAACCTGCCTTACATAATGGTTTCATATGTAATTAGTTTTTCATATGCTGGATTTCAGCCACAATTGTATCATTTTCTCCATTTTGTTAAATCCCTGATGACATCTCAATAACTTTCTTCCACCGTGGATAGACACTTCTACTGTGGCTGACTGGCGTAGTGGTATTAATAGTTTTAATGAAAGTTGTTGGATAGAAAAATATGTGTACATATATGTACAAATATGACTACAAAATAAATAAATAAATAAGTTTTTCTTAAAACATTGAGATGTGTCAGAATCACTCTGTGCAGCACTGTATGAGCCAAATTGACCCAGAGTGGAATGACTGCTCAAAAGCTGAGAACACATTTCCCAGATCAGCAAGTGTCTCATGAACAGCAGTCAATGGGAGACAGCTAAGATTCAGTTTCCCTTTCTGCTAGGTTTGTGCCATCAACTTCAGTTTAATTTAGATAAAAAGCACCAACTTCCTGACCACAGAACAAACCGCTATTTCTTAGGTAAATATGTTTCTCCCATCTTTTTATTCTCCTGCTTTCCTCTTTTTCTCTCTCATCAGTTTCAAGACTTTTTTTTTCATGTTGTAGATGAAGAAAAGGTGAACACTATAAGCATCTTATAGTATAAAAAAATCCAATTGTCAGCATTAAAAGATTTGAAATATTTTCTTGCCAAGCAACTGACACAGAAATCTGAAGAAAGACGAGAGATATCCAACTCATTTTAAATCTATTTTTTGTTAACTCCACTTTATAGACCTAAATGATTTTTAAGACTGCTAGGTCAATCAAATTAAAGCTTTTCTACAATGTGCCCCTCTGATGGCTGAGAGTACCAAGCCATGTCTGTTTTTCTGGCCAGCATAGCAGAGTTATTGCTGTAGGTTCAGACAGAGCAGAGTTGTGGCACGTACTCAAAGTCATTCACTGGGACACAGGACCACATTAATGCAAAGGTGTTTTGCATACCTGAAACAGCTGAGAAGCCTCATACAGCATTTTCCAGTACCAAAAGCAATCATCAGCCCAGAGGTCTATTAATACATTTTCTGTGAGAGAGAAAAGAAGAAACATTGACACTTGAAAAGGGTAATGTAACCTGACACACAGAAAGAGGTGGTAGAAAGAATCAGTTAGCTTTACTGTTTCCATGTTTTGAAATAAAATAGTAAGAGCACTAGAAATAGACCACCTACCAAAATGGTGACTATTTACACATGAGCCAGAGATTGCAGTCTGACTGTGCTACAGTTGATTGGGAGGAGCTACTCCTGTCATCTCTAAGTCAGTGCAATATTTCAACCAGTTTTCAGAGCTTAAATAAGTTCAATGTGCGAACTGTGTTTAAAAATGGTTCATGACTTCACACTAGCTCCTTCTCAGAAATCTATTTTATTTGGCAATATTCTTGCTTTCTGAAAATATTATCAGTTTGGCACATGGAGGGGATATTATTTTTGGCACATTTTCTGCAACCAACAACAGGATGAGATGCAGCAATGCTGCCAAGGGATTTAACAAATCAATTCTGCTTGTAGTTGAATATCAAGGTTTGTTCAGGATTTTATCTCTTTTCAGTAGCAAAAGAAGCCATAATGTTCTTTTTCAGACAAACACTATAGATAAGATGATAACCTCAAACCTACAGTAAGAATGCTGTCTTCATAGAATAAAAGATGTCTTGGGCCTCCATATCACACAAGATCCAAGTATCAATAAAATTTTCAGTAAGAGCCCTGGATTTTAACCTCGTGAAAAGTGAACTAGCTACATGCCATGCTCAGAGGGAGCAGTCAGACTCCTCTTACTATTTCTACACTCATTCCCTTTTTTCCCTTTTCTATAAACTTCACCAGACTCTATGTTGGAAACAGCTCAGAAAAATATTTTTTTTTTTTTCTTTTTTTCCTTTTTAGATGGTCTCTGCCACTGGATTCAGTCAGAATGAAGAAACAGGTTTTTATAAAAGGAGAGGCAGCACTGGGGACAACCTATTTATTTACAAGAAGCTTCCCTGTGCATCAGAGCTCTTTATGTAAGTGATTCATGAAAGACCAAGCAAGCAAAGATACTCACTTGAATAATGAGACCTGACCAGCCACAACTGTACTGTTAACAATCTGACTTCCAAAAATGAATTTCAGGAGTTACTTACTTCTATACTCTTCCTATGCATCAAAACAGAGATCATGTCTGATTTTTCTTAGATGATTCGATTTGATTTTACCTGTGAATAAAATATAAAGTATATCACGATAGCTGGAGAAATATTTTACTTTATGCTCAGTAGTGTATGTTCATTTCCATTCAGTTATGTACATAAATTTAGAACATATGTTTCAAAAGTCAGAATAGGTAACTGGGAGATTGTTTCATATTTTTCAGCAGGAGTGGTGCTGACTGAATTGAGTGGTTTGTTTAACATACTACTTGAACTGGTAATATAAATGAATTTATGATCAACAAAACCATCACCGTATTTTTGTGCATATGAAAAATACACAACAAAAATTTATATTTTTCCCTCATTGGTAACCACTGAGATGACCCAAAGCTACAAGTCTATAAGTATAAATAAGGATTCCTACTATTAAAAAGCTTACTCAGAAAAATACTAAAAGGCATAATCGATGTGGGATATTTAACTCTCACTATGACAAGAATATATTTTTTTCTGTCCCATTCTCTGTCTTCTACAGGGAGCCCATGTCATCAACATGTGTCTCCAAGACTGGTGCATCTGCCAGAATTTTGGGTTTTATAATCATGGAAAGAGTCTTCAAGACAAAACTGCTGGGTCCTAATGGAACCCACCTGTGGAGGAGATGTTTTCTGGCTTATAAGCTATCAAGACTGTTTGAGAGGGCTTTAAACTAGGATCAGTGAGGGAGGGGATACCATTAGGAACCCTGACTTTAAGCCAGAGGATGGTGCAGCAGCATATGAGGGTGGCAAAACTAATGGGAGCATCTGTGCCACTCCAGGGAGCACATCTGAAATACTCATATACCAACACACAAAGTACGATAAAGAAATGTGAAAAAAAATAATGCTTTTGTCCTTTCCCAAAGCTATGTTATCATTGGTATTAGTGAGACTTGGTGGGATGAGAAGTGTGACTGGAGTACTGGGATGGAAGGCTATCAGCTCCTTAGGAGGGGTAGACAGGGCAGGTGATGTAGAGGTGTTACACTGTACCTGAGAGAGATTAGACTGCACAGCCCTTGCCGTTAGGGATGATGCTGTAAAGTCTCTGGGTGAGGATTAAGGAGGCAGATAGCAAAACAGATGTCATCGTGTATGTCTACTATTGACCACCCACCTAGGATGATAGCATAGATGGGCTCTTCTATAGGCAATTAGGAGAAATCTCTGGAACAGTTGCCCTTGTCCTTATGGGAGATTTTAATCTCCCAGACGTAAACTGGGGATATCATAATACTGCAACAATAAAGTCTGTAAAATTCCTAAAGCATGTTGAAAATAATTTCCTGTCACTCAGTAAGCCAACTAAGAAATGTGCCCTTCCGGATCTCTTGCTCAATAATAGGGAAGGCCTTGTGAGAGAGGTGACAGTAGGTGGCTGTCATGGCCACAGGGATCTTGAAATAGTAGAGTTCAAAATTTTTGGTGTAAGGAACAAAAAGGTCAGCAGAGTTGCCACCCTAGACTTTAAGAGAGCAAACTTTAAGCTTCTCAGGAAGTTACATGTAGTTAGCAGTGTCCCCTGGGAACTGGGCCTATAAGGTCAAGGGGTCCATGATAGATGGTAGCTTTACAAGAAACACCTTTTAAAAGCACAGGAGCAGGCAATCCCACTGTGCCATGAGTCAAGCAAGAGAGGGGCCTGACTGAAAAGGGAAATCCTCCTGGAACTAAGGGAGAAAAAGAGAATATGCGATTTCTGGAAAGAAGGTCAGGCTTCTTTTATCAATGATCTGTATGCAGGACATGAATGCATCTTTAGCAAGTTTGCTGGCAATACTAACGTGGAAGGTATTATGGACTCCTTGGAGGGATGAGAGGCTGTGCAGAGGTATCTAGATAGATTGGATAGATTGCATTGCAATTAGCAAAAACATGAACTTCAACAAAAGAAAATTCCAGGTTCTGCACCTGGGATAGAGTAATACCAGGCACAGGTGCAGACTCAGAGAAGAGTGGCTGAAGAGCAGCTCAGCAGAAAGGGATCTAGGATTTCTGGTCAGCACCAGGCTCAACATGGGGCAGCCAAAAGGACAAACAGCATTTTGGGGTTCATTAAACACAGCATAGCCAACAGGTCAAAAGAGGTGATCCTCCCACTGTATTTAATGTTCGTGTGGCCTTACCTTGAGTATTGTGTGCAGTTCTGGGCTTCACAGCACATCAAAGTTTTTAAGGTTCTTGAAAGCATCCAGAGAAGGGCAACAAAGCTGCTAAAAGGACTGGAAAACATTTCCTGAGAGGAGTGGCTGAGGACACCTGGGCTCTCCAGTCTAGAGAAAAGGCTAAGGGGCAGCTTCATTGCTCTCTGCAATGTCTGAAGCACAGAGAGAAGTGCCAGTCTCTGCTCCTTGACACTGATTGTCAGCAATGATAGGACACAAGGAAATAGCACAAAGCTGTGCCAGGGGAGGGTCAGGCTGGGCATTAGGAAAATTTCTTTACCATGAGGGTAATTAAACACTATAAAAGGCTTCCTAGAGAGGTTGTTAGTGATCAAGATACACTTGGATAATTTGTTATTACTAATTATATAATAATAGTAATTAGTAATTAATATGCTTTTAAAATGGTTAATAATATGCTTTAACTCTTGGTTAACTCTGAAATGGTCAGGCAGTTGGACTTACCCTTGAAGGTCCCTTCCAACCAAATTGTTCTGTTCTGCTCTGCTCTGCTCTGTTCTGTTCTAACCAAACTTTTTTTTGGTCGATTTGAATATTTTCTTCCTTTCTGAGACTTGTTCCAGTCTTCTTGATTTAGCATAGTTATCATCTGTCAAATGAGGATCACCTGAGGGTCTTTTCAAGACCCTTGGAAGTGTTTTCTAAGATAACATAGATACAGAGCTCCCGAGGATGTTTGAAAATTAATGCTATCACTAGTTTATCAATAGTACCCTTATAAATATATTATATATAGCCTTATAAATATATTTATATAACCTTATAAAAAGATGGAAATAAATATTATTGATACAGCTACATGCTGAGAATGACTAGACACAACTTTTCTTGACATAGTTAAATTTGTATTTATTAAAAGGACTTATGTAAATCCTTTAACAATTTAGATAATTAAACATCTTACAATTATTATTTGTCTACTATTATCAAAGAATGAGCCATGAAGGAATACTGCAGCATTTTCTTAGAACTTGCTAGTACAAGAAAAGGGACTTTACATAAGTAGACTGTTCTTTCTTGGCAAAATTTTACAGATAAGTATTACTAATATTATATTATATCTGTTTCCCTTATACTGCCTTTTTAATAAATGTCTGCATACCACAGTTATTTTTTTTTTTTTGTGACTGAAACATGTGTTGCAGATTTAGAAGGTGATAAATCAAATGGAGCAAGAACTCTTTAAGCTTAGGGGAGAGGTCAGGAAACCAAGGGTGAAACAGTCTTGTCAAGCTGTCTTTAGGAAATTCACATCCTCCCGCTACCATCTTGCAAACTTTACATATGTAAATGCTCTTATAAATAAGGTTATGATAAATGCATATAAATAAACATTTTAGAATCATAGAATGGCTATAGGGCCATAATTTGCATTTATAAGGCACATCTCATGAGATTGTCAAATGTATGCACTTATGTACAAACACATGTATATTTCACATTCTCATAGCAACTATTCCTTCCAGATAGCTATTTTGCATCATCTTGAGTTAATCTTTGTTGTTCTTTACAGTGGTTTATATCAGAATCACTGCATTGGTTTAATTTGCAGACTGTGAATTACCAGTTTTCTAAGATACCATATTTTCTAACATCTTTAGACTAATCTAACATGAGTCTCTCCTATAAGAAAAAAAAAAATATATATATATCTCTATAATACTCCTCAAAATATTGTAATGGCAATGTGAAAAGGTCACAGAATATGTCTAAAATTTATGTTCTACTTTGGAGTACTTCCATTTGTTTCACTTTGCTGTAGCACCAAAGTTTTAAAATCTTTTTGTTACAGACAAATGAATCAACGTGAACTTCCAATAGCCTTTTAATAGTTGATTTTGATGAAATGTTGTTTGCTTTTTCTAAATTAAGGTGTTGAGAGAGTAGTAGTTTTTTGTTTTGTTATGGACATTTATCTTAGATATCCCAAAATAGAAAATGTACACGTACTGTACTGGACAGAGTAGAAATAAATGTTGCAGAATGTTTCTGGTCTGTATATATATGAAATACAATCTTCCAACTTTTGACCACATTTAATTTGCTTTAAAGTGCAATTTTAAGGTAGAAGCAAATACCAATAGACTTCAGTAAGTAGTTTCATTTTCCATGGAAAACAGTTTTTCAAGTCTTAGCAAAACATCAAGCTTTTGTTCAAAATAGACACTTAGAAACAAAAATTAGAGAAAGAATTTAGTTTCTCATTTAGAATTTCCCTGTGTAATTGTACGTATTAGGTAAAGATACCTATAGGCTGGGAAGTGCAAATAATAGATCAAGTTGCTAGAAATACACTTACTGCACTTCCAGTGTAATTCAGTCCTGGTGGATGTTGGCTTCTTTTAATATATATGTTGGGTAAACAGTTAAATTTACTTCTTTGGACTGTTTAGCTTTTTTAAAGAGTATGTATTTATGACAGTTTCACTCCTAATAGCCTCTAGAGAGTTTAACATCTATCACAAACCTTTGTTAATTTGCTAAAAACTATTTCAGTTCCTTGATTGATTTAATATGGCCCAACCGATCTGCACAAAACAAATGCTTCCATTCCTCACGGTGCCATGGAAAATGCAAAAAATCCCAGATGTGAATATCATAGTCAAAACTATTTTGGAGTTTTTCAAAGTGTTATTAAAATAACTCATATGATTTATGGATATTCCTATCCATACTGATGAGTCATATATAAATAAATCATAGAATCACAGAATTATGGGGTTGGAAGGGAATTCTGGAGGTCATCTCATCCAGCAGGCCCCAGGCAGGGCCACCTGTTGCCTAGCACCATGTCCCGGAGGCTTTTGAAGATCTCCAAGGAGGGAGATTCCACAAGCTGTCTGGGCAACCTGTGCCAGAGCTTGGTCACCGTCACAGTAAAACGCTTTTTTCTTCTGTTCAGAAGGAACTTCCTGTGTGTCAGTTTGTGCCCATTGCCTCTCATCTTGTCACTGGGGACAGTCTCTGACTTCTTTTCTTTTCCTAGTAAAAACAAGTATTTCCAATATTGAATATTTTTTTCTCTCCAAAATTAAATCCTTACAATCAGATTGTGTGGTACCAATTTGAAGTAATTGTGAGAGGGTTTTTTTCTCCCCTGTCTAAGGACACCTGAGAAAACTAGAGGACACCTGAGAGAATGTAGAAAATAGAGGAAAACTGAGCACCTTTGGAAAGAGATTTGTCACACCACAGTATGGCAGGCAAACCTGGACATACCTTGGTCTCTCCACTCACTATATGGCAGCTCCTGTGTATGACCTAGCTGACATCTGTCCTCTAGATGGGCTGATTTGGGGAAAACAGCTTCAGACATAAGTGCATATTTAAAATAAACTTGCAACTGTATTGGTTGAATAGGTAAGTGGAACCTAAAGACCTATTTTGAAATTGTACTTTATATATCTTCATTAATCCTATTCATTCTAAAATTTCAGCATTAAAAAGAAGGAAAATTAAAAGCGCAGTGTGATTACTATTGCTATGAAGATAAAGGATTTGCACACCATACTTCAGTAACATAATATAGTTGTAAGGCTTAGTAGAAACTTGATATCAGAACTAAGTAGAGATATTTCACAATGATTCAACTTTCAACAGCTTGGTTACATCTGTCACTTTAAATTTTTCCACAAAAGCTAAACTGTAAGCCTGAACTGGACAGACAGTAACACTCTAATCTACTTGACTTATTTTCTATAGATTATTTTGAAGAAATGTTGTATTTGTTCATTCACGTTGCCATATTTTGAAAGATAGATTGAGAAATTATTTTGAGAGGGAAAGAAAATTGCCCTCATAACTTTCTTTCAGTCACGGTAGTCTTTACTCAAAAACAGGATACATTTAGAAAGAGGAAGTAAGGCAGGAATTAATAAGTTAGTCTGCAGTTTATCTGTCAGGTGTAAAATGGTGTGGATTGTGTTGTAATGCCCAAAATTTTTAGGGACAGATATGGTTATGTTCTGTGATTTACGTGTTAAGCATGCTGTTTTGGTGAGTAGGAGGTTTCCTGTACAACTTATATTGCAGTAAATAACAGAGGTTTTTAGAAAAACACAGGAAAGAAGGATCATCATCTTCTTTTTCTGTGTGTTTTTCACCAGACCTCACAATTCATCCCAAGATGAGGAAAAGACAGCTAGCAGGAAAAACTTGAAGGTTACTAGAAAATCCTGGGAGAGACATAGTTTAAGTCAACTTTTCACTGAGCCTAACAAACTCATTCAAAAAATGTAGGGATTTCAGATTGGCATGTAATGATGCACACTAGGGTAGTCTGAAAACTTTTGAACTTACCTTGGACTTACCTTCCTCTCCAACAAAACATGGGCAGACAATAACATGAAATGCTTTTATAAGGACTTTTTGAAAAACTTTGCATTTTACTGGGTTTTATTCTTTTAATATGAAAAGCAAAATAAAGCAAAACAAACAAAAACACATGGAAAATAGGAACAGGAAGAAATTTGAGAGATATTTATTCCATCCACTGCCTGACAGAAGGGTTATCTGTAGATGTCATTCCCTTCAGTGTCTAACATGTTTGTTTATACATACTTTTATTGGGGAAAACTTTACAAACCTACTGGGTAAATTATTCCACAGTCTTATGGCTGTTAGCAATGACAAAGTTTTTTGTTCATCTCAGTTTAAAAATTACCCCGCTTGCTGAACTACAGATCCATTATTTCAATTCGCTATCAGGTAAAAAGTTTTTTATGTTTCCGTTACTATGTGGAAGACAGTTATCATGTTCCTTTTAGCTGTTTTTTGTTTGTTTGTTTGTTTTTTTGTTTTTTGATTTTTTTTTCCTGCTCTCTAGGCTAAACAACAGCTTATGCAGTCACCCTTCTGAAGTCATTTTTTTTCCAAATTCTGATCATTCTCAGTATTCCTCTCTGGTCTCTATCCAACTGGTTCACATCCTTTCTTAATTACAGTACTCTAAATAATATTTAGTGCTCCAACTGAGGCTTCAAGAGCTTCAAGAAGACTTGAAGGACCACTTATTGTGTTTTTTAGAACAATGTGCCTCCTAGAGCGCCTTTTTCACAACACTATTGGCTCATGTTCAGCTTGTGCTCCACAATAAGAACAGATCCTTTTTGTTGTTAGCGAGCTGTTGCTCAGTCAGCCCTTCCCCACCCTGCATTTGTACAGATGGCCGTTCGTAGTAAATACCTCGCCTGAAGAAAGCTACCAACAGCTCCAAAGAGAAAACCAGGGATTGCTGTGCAGACCTAGATGTGCAACAGAAAACCGAGACTGACTCAAATATTGAGAAGCATGCTATTCTACAGAGGGAGAGGAAAAGTCTTCTGACCCAATGCCTCAAAGGAAGTCATTCCTGCAGACCAGAAGGGAACCCCATGCACACTCCCCAATGCCATAGTAAGGTTGGAAAAGATTGAGTTCACAGTAATGAATAGAGAAAGGAATTAATCCTTATATTAGGAAACATTGTACAATAATACAGGATGCCAGGATTAAAAGCAGGTGAGAAGCTTTAGGGAAAGATGTAATCCTCATTTCTCTGGAACTGCCTTTGCACCAGAAATTCATTTCAATTCACTTAGTGGAGACAGATTTACTAGAAAAGGCTGAAGGAGTGGCATCCCTCCTTTTTGACTCCCCCACCCCTACAAACACACACACACACACAGAGGTTGGCATAGAACACAATCCTAGCCTTGGAAGACAAACTCTCCTATTTACAGTTGCTTCCTCAACACCCTGTGGCCCTGTCATCAGACTTCTCCCTCACATTAGCTCCTGTGGCTGAGGTTATTGTTTGCTTAATGGAATTCTGTTGATCCGTCCTTCAGAAGGGTACAGCAATTTAAGCAACAATATTTCCTGTGCCATGTCAGCTTTTGTAATGATGGCCATGGCCAAAGAAATATTCAGAGGCTTTTCTGTTAATATCTCAATTTACTTTCCCTTTACCACTTTTTTTTTTTTCTTCTTTACATCTAGTTGTAATAGCTTCATGCTGAAGCTTGGTCTCTGTGAAGCAGATATGCAGAGGTGAACTTACAAGCCACTGAAGAACAGAGTCAATGTGTAATGTATGTGTAACGGCATTTTTTAAATACAAATTAAAGTAAGGAGGAGGAACAGACTGCTGCCAAATGCTGAAGGCTGCAACTGGTAATGGAAGAATTATTTTCATGTATTTAAGAGAAAGTGCTGAAGTGCTGAAGAGTTTTATAATCTGTTTTATAAAGTACTTGACAGTGTCCCTTTAACATAAACCTGGCCAGAATAATTACTAGATTCCTTGGCTATTCTCAGCAAGTTAAAATAAAAGCTCCACCTTTCCCTGTATGAAGAGCTGTGATTTTTGCCCCTTCAGAGGGAATGAACTCATTCTCCTCCTGCTTGTTCTACCATATGGTCTCCTCTAAACAGCTAAGGGCCAAACAAAATGCAAGCCTTTTCTGCTTGTGGTTCTTTTTCCCAGAGCTTGAAAGGGCTGCTGCGCCCTTTCTTTCCTACATCAAACTTGTAATGAGCCTCTACCAAAGCACAGGTCAGTAAGAAAAAAGAAAAGAAAAGAAAACAAAACAAAAATCAGGTTATTTTCTTTGACTTAATCCTTCTGACAGGCACAGATCCAGTAACTCATGAAGATCCTCATCAAGTATGTCTGCTCCATTTTAGTCAATTAGTGAATATTGTAATGTTGATGAAGTATCCCAGAGGAACTGCTAAACACGACTTCATTACTTACACTGACATACCCCATCTACTAATCTTGTCAGGGAAGAGTGACTGTTTCTCTGAAACTCCCTACTCACTACTTGAGCTGTGGCAGCGCCAGCAGCATTTCAGCCATTTTTCTTTGGAAAACTCCTCTGTAAAACAGCAATGACAAGTGGGTCAATAAACATCTATGAAGCATTTGAGCACATATTCTACTTCTATTAGTCCATTCATTAAGGCTTAATGAAAGATAACTGTGTTTTAATGAATAGCATGCAAGACATTGACTACCAAATACATGAAAAAACTTTTAAAGCAGTTCTTTCAGAAACAAGCCCTTGATCCTTCAAATATTTCAAATCTGGGCTGCCAAGACATGGCACATAGCACTGTCTGTGAAATCATCACTGGCTGCAGAAATATCTCATCAAAGTGTCAGCTCTGACTTGGCAAAAGGTTATGTGGTGTACCAAGATAGCTTATACAATAACAGGAGTTGGAGTGTTCATGCATCTTTTGTCTTCAACTAGTTGCTCATGTGAGTGTGAGAGAGGGAAATCTTGTGGTTCTGTCTTTTAAAATTCTTTGGGAGATGGTCAAAAATATTGGCCAAGCACAGGTTTTATTTTTCCAGACAATTAATATACTGCTTTCTGCAAAGCAAAGAACAGGTTTGAAACCCTCTTTTTCAAACACAATGTTAGAAACCTAGAGGTATGCAGCAAGTACAGAATTACAAAGGGACTATTACAGTAGTTTCAGTTGTGGAGGTAATAAAAATTGGCTTTTCTGATCTCCCAGATTTTTTTCAAATTTATAGCATTTAATAATAAGGGTCATAGACAAAAAATATGTAATCAACAGCAGGCTGGTTAAACACTTCTCACTCACTTATTTCTTCAGTAAATATTTTTTTCTCTGACATATATAAGTGTGTAATCCTACAGGAATAAACTGTATTTGCCCAAAAGAGTCAAGACATTTGGTCACCTCCCTTCAGCCTTCCCATTCCCTTCCAACAGGATAACACTACTTGAACTCTGATTTAGTCTTTAATAAACTTATAATTATTCCCTGGTATCTTATTTACTTTTTAAAACACCTTTACAAAGTTATGCAAGAGCAAGACTTTTCTTAGCATTCAGAAAGTCATTTCCTTTCGAACACCTGCAGGCCAAAATACTCTAGAAACATCAAAGGTCCAGGATGCAGCAAACAAAGCCAGGCAAAAGCAAATCCTTCTCTCTCATGAAAGGATCTCATGATCTTTCATGTTCATGTTTTATGAAGAACAGTTTCAAAACAGTCCTCTGGGAAGGAAGCACATGAGTTTAGGGCTAAGAGCTGCTGCAGAAAATTAATTGATGTGCCTGAGAGCAGGCAGTGTCTGCATCTCCTGCAACAACTCCTACTGTCTACTCTCTAGATCCCTTCCAAGAAAGAACCTTACTTTTATAGTTAAATATTAAAGAAGTATGGCTAACTATCAAGTAACATGAAATGTGTCATCTTGTTCAAGGAAACACTGGGTGCTGAAAACCCCAAGGGCAATATTTCTGTTTCTGCTACAAGTTTCTTCCCCAACTATTGTTATTTGTGCCCTACTAACATCCCCAGGCAGGAATTAAAGCCCCATTATTTAAGGTACAGCATATTCAACAAAAGATGACTCATGCACCAAGGATGCTAAGTTCATGATGACAACTATGTTCTTGTGGTTAATCATGCATATTTTGCTTTCTCTTCCATGAAAACTTGAGACAATAACACCCAACCCCTAGAATTTATTTTCAGGCTAGGAAGCGTTCATAAATGTTTGGCAAGTGCTTGATTTTTAAGTTTCAGTTTACTAGAGAAATATAAAGTAATATATATACTTTCCCTCCAGAGCAAAAATAAGCATTGTAAAGAAACTATGTAGCACACGTAGCTGTTGCAAAATAAGCAATTGTAGTATTTCAGAATTTTTTTCCACGCAAATATGTGTTCTTTAAATGACCCCAGGGTGTTATGGTAACTGAGACCACATTCCTTCACAAGTCATCACAGCGCTTTGTTTTATTAATAATTATACTGTAATGTTCGGTAAGTTACAGTAATGCTGGAAATCTCTGTCTCTTGCACACCCTCACTGCTAGATCATCAGTTTGACAGTGAAATACCCTAAATCCCAAACCAGCTCAGAAATGATCTTTCAGCAGACTTTAAAATTAGTTGGTTCTTAACCAGGTCTCTCTGGCTTATCAACAGCCAAATTTTCCCAGCATATGTGTCTGCTATTTCAGACTTCTGTTTGCCAAAGTGTTTTTTTGGCTTGGATCAACCCCCTGGGTGTTGTGCTGGAAAATTTGCCAGAAACTGGGGGGATTGCACTACATTTGGATCCTTCTATGTTTTCCTCAGATTTTCTTTTTAGCATGATTTCCTCTCCTGAAAAAGGTCAAGGAAATGACAAAAGAGTTAAACAATTATAACATACAATGCTCATACAACACACTTATGTAACATAAGTGTATCTTCTCAAAAGCAAAAAAATTCCCATAATCTAAATGTAATTATGTAGAAGGATAAATTTGGAAGCGAACTTTTTCTCCTTTATGTTAAGCTGTGTTAGACATCCAGACACTAAATGTAAAAATATAGAAAGCAGCTGCTGTAACTTGACCACTATTATCTTTTTTTAATTGAGTACTACTGCAAGACCTTCTACATTCTCTGCTAATTTTCATTGCAAAGTATTTCTACATCAATGTCCTCCACATGGTAGCAAAATGTTTGCAGTCCTATGCAAAAGAAAAAGTGATTGATGGTGTATTGTACAGCTAATCCAAAGCTTACTGATGTCAATGCAATTCTTTGCTTTGGCTTCTGTTGGTTTAGGGTCAGACACTAAAGTAGTGCTTGTGAAATGTTAAATGTTTATTTTAAATAGGAAAAGATGAACTGCAAGCCAAAGAGCTTATTCAAAAGAGAGAGAAAGAAAAAACAGCAAAGCAAAGATTATTCTCATTTCCATGCTGTGGACTGTAGAGGCATAATTCTTTTCTTAGTGTTGATTTATAAATAACTTCATTGCCAATCTGAAAACTCTTCAAAAGAAGAAAAGAAAAAAAAATAATAATAAAAAAAACATTCACAAGAACACAAGAAGCAATGCTAGAAACATGAAGAAATCACATAGTTTCTGAGGTAATAAATATTGCAAAGTCTTAAACACATAGTATTGTGGTCTTAGAATCTTAATCCTACATTCTCACACTCCTTTTCTAATGATTCCCATGAAATTAGTAATTTCAGATACCCAAAGACACTTTAGATTTCACATGTATTTTGAGTTCTGAATTTCCGTGGTTTACTTAGTTTATCCTAACACTCCTTATTGAAAGCAGTAAGAAAACTGGACCCCACTATCTGTTCAGCTCATACCAGTGATTCTGCTCTTTCTTTGCTTTATCTGGTTGTATTTTCTGAGACCAGCTTTATATTATATCCTGCCTTTGGAACAGCTATCGGAGAGCTTCACAAATCATTCCAGTCAAGAGTGATGTGAAAGCAGATTCCCATGTATTAATGGACTCATTCTTCCTCCTAAGAAAACAGTGGAGAGTAGATTTTCTCATTCCAGATCAGACCACCGATACTGTATCTCATCTCTAACAGCAGTCAGATAGAGCTGCATCTGAGAAAAATACAAAAGGAAATCAGATGCAGGAGACCATTGAGAGCTTTCCATTGCCTCAGGCCACTTGCATTTTAAAATTTCAAGGTCTTATTCTTTTAACACAACTTGGTGGCCCATAGGTCACATATAATCAATGGGTTGATTATATATTTTGAAATTAATTTTAATTCATTTTTTCTCAGATTCATTGGAAGTACCTTCCTGCTGTAACACAAGAAAGAATAAAGATAATAGTTACCTCTTTCAGAATGTTTTGTGTGTTATTCTTCAGTCTCACCTTATGTATCTAGGCTAGCAGGAAACAGGTTCAATCTGTTTGGTATTTCCTTGTGAAGAAACCACTTACAATTTTACAGCAGTGCCATGTATAAGTGCCATGAGAATATTCCAGCTAGAAAAGTCTTATTTATACAGTGGAACTGTAATCTCTCCCATTTCACAATCTCATTTTCTTATTTAACAGGTTTTTCTGCTTTGCTGCCCACTGTCTGGCAGTAGACTAACACTGTTGTGAGTCCATTCATTCCTCAGTTTGAACACTCTTGTAGCTTTCCAAGGGTCCTTGGGTCAGTTCCATCCTGACTTCTGATTAATTTCGAATAATGTTTGTCACCACTTCACTATTCTGTGAGCCTTGCCAGCGTTTGAAAAGCAAGCAAACAAAATGTGTAATAGATTGTAGGATTCTTAAGGCATTCTGCTGTTAATTATCTTGTAGCACTTTTTCCTTCATGAAAATAATGTTTAAATTATATCACATTTTACAAATTTAATATTTTTTCCTAAGCCATATGCTTTGGCAAAATGAAGACTATAACTCCTGCATGTGATTTAAAGGATAAACATAAAGGGGGAAAAATAAATCTGGTAGTTCAGTAAAATAATTCTGCCAGAGAAAACCCATAGCTAATGTCTGATTAGTGTCAAGCTTCCCATGCTACTTGCACATTACCTTTTCTTGAGGCTACCTTTCATGGAGGGATGGAGGACTCTTCAGCAACCTACCTCCTGGGTTATCTTCTCATTTCTGAACAATGCTTCCTCGCCCTCCCTGACAAACACAGCAATGCATACAAGTCATGTGGCACAGGAGTCTTTGCTTTTCTGAGGAACTGCATTGAGAAACAAAAGTGGAAGCCAAGCTCAGGATGTTTCCTGTGACAGCCCATGCCAGCAACTCCCTCCATACAGCGTGGAACTACGTGGGTATGTCCATTTCCAAATAAAGCAGCCACCCTTTGTTGAAATGTGAATATTAAGCAGTTTTACAACCTGTAATATGTATTAATATAATATAATAAATATGATATGATATGATAATAATATATTATAATATAAAAATATTAATAAATGCAGTATTTTCATCACTGTAGACTAATTCATGAAAAAAATGTTTACTGAGCATTTTTTGTATGTCAAAGTTAATGCAGGAAAGTTGACCTGTTTCAATTTACCTAAATTCTTTGTATATAATGACAGTCAAATAAAGGTGATAATATCAACCACAGTTATTGAGTAATTTTGCCAAATGACAAGATGCAAACTTTTCTAATCATAAGCCAAATCATAAGAAAAACCTCATCTCTTGAGAGGTCAATTGACACCATGATGATTAACAACTAAGAGATTATATATTTTCTACTTATTAAAAGTCCCAGCTACCTATGAATACTTTATATATTTCACATAGTTCATTATTCTTCAGCATACATTTTAAGTATATGCATGTATATGTCCAGAAAAAAATAAACACATCTTCCTTGAATCAAAAATCTAAGGTACAGGCCCTTGGGATATTAGAACCAACATTATTGAGTGTTGATACTTGAAATAACAGTATTCAATAAAAATAAAAATAAAAATAAAAATAAAAATAAAAATAAAAATAAAAATGAAAATAAAAATGCATCCAACTCTCAATAGTTGGATAGTCTCAATAATTCTTTTTTTCACTCACACTAGAAGAAAAATTGGTCTTGAAATCTTACAGACTTTTATTTTAGTTTAATCTATATTTAAAAGCAAAATGAAACAAAAACAAAAACAAAAACAAACATTGAGTTCTGAATTGTAACATACATTTTAATTTGTTGAAAGTAAATTTTACTTTGAAATCATGATAGCAACATTTTGTTGTTGTTGTTGATTGTTTGGGGGTTTTTTTTAGGAATATTTATCTTTTGTTGTTATAAACTAGAAGCTGTCTTCATTTTCCACACTTGAACTCTGAAAAATGGCCACACTGGCGAAAGCAGTCAAGCTGCACAGCAACCTAAATCTTGAACAATCATTCAGTTATTCACTGGCCAACTTGATTTCACCACAAATTGAATGCTTTCTGACAAACACTACCAGAGCAAAATTAAAATAACAAAAATGGGAATTATTTTAGCAGTACCGTCTTTGCAATCAAAATTATTACAATTTCAATAACAGCTTTTAATCTAGAACAGATTACAATGTTTGACTTTACAGTAGAATTGTGTGACTGCATCTTGGATCACAATCTTTCTTTTGAAGAAATTCCTGCTCTTCAGAAACCCTGTATGTAACTTTCTATCTGACCTTTCTGACCCAGTAATACTAGCATTGATATAGCATCTGCTATCTTTATCTTCTAAGAAATACCTGAACTTTTCAAATTTTGTGGTTCTTCTGAGAGAAAGCTAGGTGACAGGAGTTACAGTTTTATCTCAAAACCTCTCATATGGTAAAGAATATGGTGAATTTATCATTGGTCAATATTTTAAACCAAGATTAATTAGTTTGATGAAAAGAAAGGTCTATCTCAAAACTAACCCATAGGTTTCATGCAGAGTTCATGTGTAATGTGGTGAGGTTTTTTTCATAGTTTACAGCTTCTTTCATGCAGCAGATTGGATTATAACAAAGATTTTTTCCAGCTTTAACATTCAATGTTATTTTTGTCCTCCAAAACTGAATTCCACAGTTGTCAAGAAAATATCATGCCTTCAGCAAACGTCTGACTTGAGAGGTAATGGATCCAGTGAAATACAAAATCCAGTTCCACACAGCTCCTCACAGTGCTGGTTATGCATTTTAGCAAAGCTGAACTCTCATTCCAAGCAACATCTTTCAAAAGTCATTGAATTGGGAGCATGCCTGGATAAACACATTTTTTGCTGTTTCAGACCACTAAGTCCCACTTGATGAAAGTGAGACCCAGTCTACCACCTCCCACCCCAAACCTAAGCAGCCTATGCACTGGAAGATGCACCCATTGCGATTCCTCTGTGTCCCTGTGCCTTTGGCACAATACCCATGTATTTGTCTCACATGTGAGCATTCAAGTGGCCTAAAGTGACTGCGATTTTTTAGTGTTTATTCAAAACTGAATTCCTTCAGAGTTTAAATACATAAGCAGTGGAACTAAGTGAGATTAGTCCTACAGCCTGCTGCTTTCCTTATGTATGTGCTGCTATTTTTAGGGAGATCACAATATATGCTATTCAGGATAATAATAAACATTAGTAATTCCCATTAAAGGGAGTAGAAACACTGGAGTTCTGCTGTGTTTTTAACTAACTTCTTGGCTGGCTATCTGCAATGTAGTGGGTGGTGGAAAATCACAGCACACCAATGGCATGGTAACAATTTCCTCTCCAGCAATAGGCTTCTATAGGACATCCTTATTTGAAAGCAATGATATTTTGTAACCAAAACACTACCTGAAAAGCAAAAAATGCTATGTAGGTCTAACTTACATATTAGGAAACTTACATTTTTCCTAACACAGTTTCTACTCTTATTAAGTATTCTTTGACAAAATGACATAAACAGAAAAACAATGTACAAGATTCCATAAAATGATTTGCTGTTAACAAAATAATAGGTGAGCAGAGCAACAATACAACTAGAAGTGTGAATCCAACACAGTGAAAATGTAGGCCCAATTCAAAAACCTTATCTGTAAGTGTATCTATAGTGATACTGAAATAATACAAAACCTTACATTCTGCACTCCTCTCCTGACACTTTTTTATTCTTTTCATTACTTTAATTTAAATAATGTAAAAATAATAAGCTACTTTTACAGAGAAAATGCTGTGTTGAGAGAAAAAAAAAAAAAAAAAAAAAAAAAAGCATGATTATAGAAACAGAAAAATGAACAGATATATAGCAAGCCAAAGGAAACAATTGAAAATCACTGCAGGCAGGAAATATCTCTATAAATTTAATGCTCATCGAAGAATATTAAGAAATAAGAAGGGTTTGAACAACCATAACACGGGATAATAACACTACAGTTAGGGCTAGTGAAGAAGATGAACTCAAAAGAAGTAAACAACAATCTGTATGCAAAGAGTACAGTGTAATAGTGAAGAAAAACTGCAAGCCAAACAAAGAATTACCTAATTGTACTATATACAACTCACTGTAATAAATGAAATATATATATATATAAATATATTCCACATTAAAATCAGCAAAAAAAGGAGGTGTGGAAACTGCTTTAAAATATATAAATAAATAAATAAATAAATAAATAAATAAAAAGGAAAAATCAGCAGAGAAAATATCCAGTCTAGATGTCATTGTCCTGTAAATTTAACTAGTAAATAAATAAATATCTATGAGCAGGATGCATTTGTAAAAAGTAATTATCATACAGCTATAATAAAACACAAACGAAAATCTTAACAAGTTTTAAGAGTAGAGTAATTTAGGGAACAGGAAAAGACATGATGTCAAATAAAACCCTAAAGTTTAAACAAAATGAACAAAATTAACAGAAATATAAAAATGATGTTGGGGTCTCTCAAACCAATCTGAGTGGGGATTTTTAGAAATGCAATCTTGGGCCTATATGTCTAAAATCCATGTAGGTTCAGCACTCAATATTTGAGTCTTTTATTTAATCAGGCTATTCCACTCAACTCTCACCAGCTGCCAGAAATCTTTGTATATAATATTTTTTGCTTTTTTCCCCCCTATATTTGTAGGAGTTTATCATTGGCTCTGACTCCAGTCTGATGTGCTAATTCACTGGTGATGACTGCACTCAAAATGCTAGCAGTGTTTTGCAAATTGCATAGATAAAATATTTTGCACATAGTTAGAAGCTCTTTTTTTAAGACAAGCTGCTGTATCTCCTATGTGTATGTTCCTATTTCTAAATTGGTCAACAGCACGTATAGCACACTGTAGAGTCTGAGAGTTTTTCAGTTTGAGGCATACAGAAACTTCAAGACTTAGCTGGCTCAGTGAAGGATGCAGGCTGTGAAATCCACTGGAAAGTGCCAAAATGAAGCATGTGTTGTTTGACCTACCTCGAAGAGACAGGGGATATCAAGAACATGTCTGCATCATATGGTGGGGACCTCAGGGATCTTGATGGATGAGCTATGAGCAGGTGCTGTGAGGACCCTCTAGTACTCTAGTAGCCCCTTACAGGAATCCCAACCTCCTTGCAGAAGCAGTTTCCTTTGCCCAAGGCTGGGAGCCATAACTGAGGTAATGCGCAAAGAACTTTGGTCTCTCTTCCTTTCTGGATACTCTCTAATTACTTCATGTAACTGAATGATTCATAGTGACTTTCTTACTAATTTGGTGGAACAAGAAGTTAGGTCACATTTGTGGGCGTATGGAAACATACTTATTGAACAAACTGCTAAATTGACAGTGCTACTGACTCTCCTGCTCCCTCTCCTGAGTAGTCTGACCTGTTCCCTGGTAATTTCCCTACTCTTCCTGTGAAATGAGTGAGAGTTTTAGGTCTGACCCTATCAGGTACAACAGCCATTACATGTTTGCCACTTGGCTAGAGAAGAAAATACAGCCACTTTTTGGATGTGTTTGCTGAGCATGTGTAGTTAAATTGCATTATACAGCAGCTCTGTTTGGTGTTGAACAGCTTATCCAAAGTGTCCTGTGTCTGGCTTGTCCCACAAGCATAGCCAATCCACCAGTGTTCAGGGAGCTGAGGCTCTGTCCAGGTGCCACCAGCCGCTCTGCTCAAGTGGGGCTCCATGGCCAACAGCCCATACTCACATCCTGAGGAGTACAAGCAAACTGAGAGAATAAATTCCTAGAAAAATTGGTTTGTTGAGTCATACAAGGGAAGTAAATGATACATCACTGACCAGATTTTGCTTGTTTCTCCATTTTGCTTTTATGATTTTGCATTTACATTTACAACAATGCATACTTCACCAGTCCCCCCTCCCACAAGATACTCCTTGTGTCAACTCTGCACTTCTGTCCTTTCCACCTTGTTATTCCCTCAGAGTAGATGCTTTGTATATACTTAATATATCTGCTCTTTATAAAGTACAGAACAGAGGCATTTCTGAGTAAAATATACAAGTGCGTTTGAAGCTAAAGAATCAGGAGTTCCTAACTAGAGCCCTGAAAAGCACACAAAGTGCAGACAGAAATAGAAGCAGCTGTTGCATAGCAAGGAATACAACTTTCTGAGGAAGGGAGGTCAAGAATTCAGAGGTGAGCAACTGCGAACCCAGGTTTCTAATTTATGGGAGAGAGGAGGTTTTGAACCTTGTAAGTGGAGGAAACAGGAAGGTGTTGAATAGTGTCAGCAAAGTTTAGTGTCAGCAAAGAAAGTGGTGACAAGACAAAGGACCACTTTTCTTATTAAAGAGCTGCAATCTAGGGGGGCTGAAGTACTTAAGTACTTGAGAAAACAGTACGGAATGGGGCAGAAAACATCTGAATTCAAGGTTGGAAAGACGAGTGTTGGGATGGAAGAGGAAAAGGATATAGTGGAGTTTGGGAAGAAAGAGAGTCAAAATGTGAATGAGATCAATAATAATATATATATATATATATACATATATATATATATATATATATATATATATATATAAATTTTCTCTCCTTCCACCTGCTAAGGTTTGTTGTCTTTTATTGAAAAACTAAATTTTTTTTTTAAACCAGGAAGTTTCCTGCTTTTTAGACTGAGAATTAAAATAATAATTATTATTATTGTTATTATTTAGCAGTGCTGTATCCTTGCGTCTGCTGCTTCATTATCTTCTGTGATGCAGCTTAACTGTATTAGTCCAAAATGCACAACAGTGCCTCACCAGAAGGCTCACAAACCCATTAGGCTTGAAATGAGAGTGAAAGTTTAGTTCTTGAATATCTTTCCTTTGGAGACCTGAAGGCAACCATGCTCGTGAGTTTTAAGAGATGCTTGATATGTTTGTGGTTATGAACATGAGCTTACAGCCTTTTTATTGCAATTGCAGACTTCTGGACCAAATGAATATTTTCCAGGACTCGGTAAGTACTTTCAGACCTAAATGCTAATGATCTATGAGAGCACCACACATCAAGTGAAATGTGGACAGCCCCACAGAAGGACTAGAGGTCATGAGAAACTAGAAATACAAATGAGCTGCCATGATGGGTTATTTCTAAATAGACAGAAAATAAAATAAAATTAGTCTTTAGAAACACTTTGGATCTTGCACTTATTATAGGAAATTCATGAGAATTTTCAGTAAAAATGTCTATGCGTTAATGTTACCTTCTAAGTCAGAAGACACAAAAGTAAAGAATCCTCCCACCATATGTAGTTCTCCTCATTTCTTCCTGAGTAAAAGAATCATTAGAATGGGTGGGCCAGGGAAGTGGTGGGGTCCCCATCAGTGGAGGTATTTAAGAGACATGTGGACATGTTGCTAAGGGAAAAGGACTAGCAATGGAACTCAGTAGGTCAGGTTGGTGGTTGGACTTGATGATCTTGACTCATTCATGCAAATTCCATTTAACAAAGCTTTGTAAAGACTCCTTTACAGCCCCAAGGTGTGGCTTTGCATTGACATTACAGAAAAGAAAAAATCAAATTCCAGGGCAAGGCTGTGAAGGTCAGTATAAAAATCTAAATCAACTATACCTTGGACAGAAGCATACCACAGAAATAGGTTGTTTAAGTTATTTAAGTTTAGGTTCAGCTAAATTGCCACAATGTGTCCTTGAAAGAAAAGTAGCCTGCAATATCTTGCAAGGGACAATAAGGTGCAAAATTACATCTACTCAGGAAATTACGAACATTTCTTCGGAAAAGGCAGCCTTTCTGAAGAAATGGTGTTGGTTAAGCAATGTATCCTCAGAATGGTGGAGTATGGGCTCAAAATTTACAACAGTAAAACAGTGCTAGTGGCTAATAATTTACAACTTCTAAACATTTTGGAGGCTTCCTGTTGGAGCCACAGGTGATCTTAGCTGTCAGTTGTAGCAAATGGACAAATGAAAGATTTTTGTTGCTTCTTTAGTCTATGGGTATTTCTCTAGAAGTGTTCAACACTTGCAAAAATGATTACTGGTAGTGATAGATTCAAATCTCGTGCCTGGGCTTTCCTGATATGACTGTCTCTATATAGAGCTTTTGCACAGCAAAGAGATTCTGTAGAAATGTCTCAGATTTGACTTTAAAAATACAAGATCAGTTAGTTAATTGTAGAGGGAGAATAAAGTCTGATTCCTCTGTTAGACTGGGCTGGGTGTTTTGTTTGTTTCTTGTTTGTTTGCCTAATACCTGTGTGTTAGCATACACTACTTACCTCATTCAGTTAAGCTCATGTTGCTTAATTTGCCAACTCACAATGTGATGTAACATCCCAAACAGATATCCATAGGGATTCATTATTTCAAAATTCCCATCAAAGGATATAGGAAAATGTTAGGCTTACAGGTAAGGAGGAACTTCACTATGAATTACAAATGAGGAAATCGAAATATTGGCATTTTGGTGTGTTAGCACAGACAAATAAGTGAGTATAAGAAATAATAATTGAAAAAAAAAAAAAAAAAAAAAAAGTGGAATAAGCTTTTCCCTCCTCTTACAGTGCAGTTCTTTCAAATTCATATTAGCTTATCTTTTCAAAACCGTACCTAACCATTACATAGGTATTTTTCTCTCCAGACAAAATTAATTTGTTTTGGATAGCATTTGAACAGCCCTTAAGCAGATGTTTTTCATTTTAAATGGAGCTTGCAGGCTCAATTCTGATTCAATGATTTTTTTTAACCATCAAAAGGAAGTTAACAAATATCTAGTACAGCACTCCTTTTACCTCTAGTCAGTTTACCAGTTTACAATGTTTGTATCCCTCATGTAACAGTAGTCTCATATTTTAAAAATCCCTAAATTTTGTAACAGTCTACTCTTACATATCATATGAAAATCATTACTTCTCTTCCCCCTCCCCCTCCTTTTTTTTCTCCCCCAGAATATGATGAATATTTTATGGTATCATTTTTTTCCTGAATAACTGAACCCAAAAGTTTAAGAAATATAAAATAAACTTGTTTTTTCATCAAAATAACTGAAAGAGAGTTGTGCCATGATAAACCACTGAATTGAGGACTTATTTGCTACATCACTAATGAGACCTAATAGTTGGACAATTGTCTATACAATTAACTTTTAAAGTATTCCTGGGGAAAAAAAAAAAAAAAAAAAAAAAAAAAAAGTTTCAGTCCTTCTAATACAGTTACAACAACAATTAATTCTTCATTTAATATTTTCAGTGTGCTTGAATTGAAGAATTGCAAAGCTGCTTGAAATTACTGGCAATAATCGCTGTATCTTACTCTGAGACCTTGCTAGACCTTTACCTGTATCCCAACTTCAGAACAACTCTGTTCAGCAATAGAAAACCATGCTGAGTCCACACTTCTGCTAATTCATAGACATACATTTGATTTTGTTTATGATCATAGAACCACTGGATTACCCATGTGTGTAGAGCATATGATGAGCAAAGTTTGGTGTTTCCAACTTCACTGAACTGGAATCAATTCCAAATTTGAGGGGCTGGAATTTAGACCAGTATTAAAATCTTTCATACATTCAGACCCTCTACACTAAGGGAAAAAAATCATCTGAATTTTATTGATAAGTTTATTTTATCTATAAGTTTAATTTTATCAGTCAAACTGATGATTTCAGTTTGACACTTCTCTAGCCAAAGAGCAGAAATTGCTGCCTTCCGATGCCTCACTTGTATGTGTAATACAGACGATGATAATCCATCACATTTCTGGTAAATAAACAATGGACTGCTCATTGTTCTGCACCTTGTAGATTTACCTACAGCAGATAATAAAATTGTGATGTGCTCAAAAAACATTAGCCTATTTGGGAAAAAATGGTTCTGTTGTTAATGACCACCCAAAGTATGAAGCAATGGAGACGTGCTTCTTTCAGGTTTAGCGCAACATTTTGGCCAGAGTAGTGGGGACTGGGAGAAAGGTCTCCATTGCTGAACAATGTTTCTCCTAGTATAGGTCATCCCTGAAGAGTAGAAAAGCAGTAAATGATACTGTTAATACTGCTATGCACAGGCAGTAGATAAAACAAATTCTTGCATTTAACTGCATGTGGCACTGGCTCTCTTCTCCCCCTTTCCAGGTATAGCATAAATTGACAAGATCATCACCAAATAATAGGGTCTGGACATGGCCAATCTGTAGCAGATAAGGCTGTATAT